GATTTTTTTTCTAAAATAAAATAATTTTTATTTATACAAATATACATATATATAAAATGTATATACACTAGAATTAGAATTTTTAAGATTATAATTACTTTTATAAAAATTATAGTTATTGTAAATGCAAATAAATAATATGGTAACGAGTAGTAGGTATTCTAGTCGAGACCTTCAATACATCACTCAGATTGCGAGATTCGTTATCTTAAGATTTTAACTTATTGCATATTATTGTCTTCATTTCACTCATTCGCATTACTTTTACAGTCACAGCACTTGCTTTTTGATCATTGACTCGATTCCAAATTCATTCGTCTGTTAGCTGTACGCAGCTCCACAAGCAACTAAATTGTCAGACTTAACAGGTAAACAGACATGGCATAATTTTGCCTACTATAGATTCCAAATGATTCAAATATGCAATCATTCACTTACTCGAAATCCATTCCTATTCTTGCTAATCACATCTGATTCACTATTTTTATTCATATAACACTAACAACAACTGCTTATAAATAACTAGGTTGTAGGTAGAATAATAGTAAGGAGAAAGGAAATAATTAGGTAATAAATTAGTTCACTTTACAAATAATTTTTGTATTTTGAAGTAGTTGATTTATTTAAAATTATTTGGAAAATGACTAACTTCACAATTTGCTTGTTTAAACTAATCACATTTTCTAAATTTATTCGCGAATATCTAAATGGAATTCAATAAAGCTCTCTCAAAAACATGACTACGATTTTAAATCGATCTTTCTAAATTGCAATTATTATTATAAGAACTATATTTATTAAGAAGTATATTTCAATTCTAACTCTAACTCTAAGGTTATATAAGGTTTTATAAGGTTATATAAGGTTTTATAAGGTTATATAAGGTTTTATATAGAACCCCTATAAGACTTACAACACTTAACAAGAATCAATTATAAAGTCGGTGCAATTCTCATACCTGTTATAAAAGACTGAGAAAGAGTCTTAACAACACCAAGTTTTATATTTAAGAACAAAACATGCCATTCTAATAAAGTTGTACTTATAACGTCGACACATATATCAAAATATGTTACCTTGGCTAAAGGTTGATCCTAGTATTTTGGTTCACACTCCCTAATATCTAAAATATGGCTAGACATAATCGTAGAAACATTCTCTCAAAAAACAGCTCTAAATAACTTAAGAACTTGAATCGAAAATATAACTTAACAGATAGATTAATTTATTTTATTTTAATTTATTTTAGTTTAATTTATTTAATTTTATTTTAATTTATTTTATTTTATTTTAATTTAATTTAATAATAAATTGTTGTGTTACTAATTAAAGTAGAAAAAAATTAAAAAATAATAGACAAAAAAGTAAATATAAAAACATTTAATAAAAATTGCGGTGGTTAACCTTCTAGAAAACACTACATTAGTATGTAAAACCCACTATATATAATCACAGTATATATACTAGGTATATATATAGATATATACACCTATATATTTAATGTTAATAAAGAAATACAATGTCTTGTATAATCATTACTGGTGCTTTTGGTAGAGAATTGAAGCGAAAACGAAACTTGATAATTATTTAATTATGACATTTTAATAATTTAAATTGTATCTAAAAAACAAAAAAATTAATACAATTAATAACATTTTTATATAAAGTATAGATTTGCTTGTAGTCACGTGTTGTTAGGCTGATAAATGTGAAAGATTAAAGCAAAGCAAAGTAGGGAACATCAGTATCTATTTCATGAGTTTAAAATAAATTCGTTCGAATTATAGCACAGACTATAATTAAAACATATTTAAAAAAAATTTAATTAATTTTATCTTTCATCAAAGTGCTTAAATTTAATATATAATGTAATATTTATTTGAATTTATTTTAATTTATATATAATTTATTTTATTTTTTCAGTATAAAGCAGACAAAATGCTTTGTGCTAATCTGAAATTTTGAAGAGCAAACGAATTTAACATAATTTTAGAGAAAATAGATAAAAATAGTGTGATAAGTAATATAAGCCACAAAAAAAATTAATTTTGGTGTTACAAATATATTAGTAAACAAAAAACATTTTGTCATATTAGCATTAAAAATGTACCAAAAAAATATTTTTATGAATTACTTCACCTAATAATATATGACTTCAGTCTACAAGACATGGATTATAAACTTATTAAGAAATTCGAATATTTCCTAAGACCACTGATGGTGAGTACTCGGCAATACTCGAAACAGCGTTGTATGGTCAGCCTAATTTTAATAAATTAAATAAATTTTTGTCCTTGCCTTTTCTTTGCTATTCGAATACGTCTAACTTTGAAGTAGTTTCTCTTCGTCATAAAGACGCGTCATCCTTGGCAAAAAAAAATTAACATTGGAAATTTTTATACTTCAATGAACTTTATTGATCTATAAGAAGATTAGCATGCAAAAACTACAGTGGAAATTAAAATGAGAAATAATGGTGCAACGAAGAGGGTACTTGGAGTAGTGTTAAAGAAACAATATATATAGAAAAACGATATTTTTGATGTAGAAAGTCTGTTATAGGAGCATTGATTAAATTGCAGAGATGAAGCATAGATGCTTGAAGTGAAAAAACACTGTAACTAATTAAATTGACATTTAAGAAATGTCTTAATACTACAAGTCGCAAAATATAATACATAAGACATAATTTTTTCAGCAAAGGCTTAACAATTAATAAAGTATTAAACTTGTAATTTAATATATATATTAAATTTATTTAAATATTTTTAAAATAAATTTTTAATTTATTTAAAGGATTTAATAATGAATGCTGAAGATAGTCCGGAATTCCCCGCCTTTAATAGTAATACTCATATTAAGTGTTATCATAATGATTTTATAAATATGTTAAAAATATTATAAAAAAAAAATAAAAAGAATAGAATATGGTAGCGCACCTTTTTGTCGGTAATTTCATAATCAAAAATATTTTTACTATATTTTGGCAGATATTTGCACATGTTTATTATTAATTATCTACGAATACAAAAATAGTTCTGCACACTTGAGATTCTCGTTTATCAGGTGGGAAAGCGCACTCTGACCAAAGCAATAAACTCTGTAATTTTAATTAAGTTTATTGAACAAATTGATTGTTTAGAAGTCAATGTGCAAATAATATGGGTTATTTATAAGGAGACACCTTGGCTGTGTAACAGGATGAGAATACCATGCTGTTGATTTTTGAAAACGCTTACAAAATATACGAATATATTAGAACTTAAATAGCATTAACCCTTTAGGCGCCTAAGCTTTTTTTGTGTGAGAAATTAATGGAGATAAAGTCAGTTTTGTTGTTTAAGAATTTCAACTTTAATTTCGATCTTTATATTTTGTATATTTCTATACGTATACAAGTATTAGAAATTCTCCTGATGAAGGCAAAAGCGAATTTGAAATATATTTATAGAAATATACAAAATATAACGTTAAATAAAAGTTAAAATGCTTAAAAAACAAAACCGACTTTAAAATAGTCTCTACGTAACAACACAAAAAATAAAAACAAAATTATAATGGAAATAGTTTTAAAATAAATAAATAATATTTGTTTAAAAAAGTTTGTAAATATAGATCAACAATCTAAAATGCTTTTAGGGACTTACAACCTAAAACGCTTCAAAGATTGCATAGCACAATCAAAAAATAACCTAAGGATTATTACGGGATTATTGACCGACAACTGTAGATTGAATAATCACCTATCGAAGTTAGAAATTTAATCGAACTCAGACGGCAGATACTGTAGAGAAGAGAGAGAAACTGCATACCATATTCTTGGGGAGTGCCCGGCACTGACGCACAAGCGGAAGATACACCTAGGAGGGTATTTCATGGATCATAAGAATTCAAGACTAGGAAAGATAGGCTCTATACTATCTTTCATTACGGAAATCAAACTTGGAGAAACACACTAATCCGACTTAGGGGCACAATAGATGTTTTAGGTTGAAATGCACGATCCCCTACTTTTAATAATAATAGATCATTAAATATCATTAAAAAATATAAAAATATTTTTCAAGTTTTGGGGGTTTCACAAGATATTAAGGCGCTTATGGTGCTGAGTGCCTTAAAACATTTTCGAAAACTAGAGGGTTACATTGTGAAATTTTTATCTCACCAATCTCAACATATTAAAGTTTATATTTTTTCTAGTTCTAACACAGAGTTCAATAACGATATTAAAATGTGGTGTTGATTACCTTTTTTATATGAAGAGCCTTCTTTCTACTAAAAACATAGAACCCGATCTTGCAATTGCAGGCATAACATAGAAAATCGCTGGAATTGTAAAATGCTACATAACCATGGACTCGTGCCAATCACTGTGATATTAGTAAAATTTAAAGTAAAAAAAAAATTATACCAATTTTAAAATATTTCTTGTTAATAAAGAACACGAGTCGTATATATGTTTGTAGCGTACATATTTATTTAAAAGAAATTAATTTTTTAAGAAATATATATTGTATGAAGCAAATACGTCAATACCAGAAATTTACGAAAAAAAAAAATGTTAAAATAAATAAAAACATTTATTGTCACCTCAATTAACTTCTTTTTCACATCTTCACTTTCTCAAATTCCGGTTTCAAATTATCGACGCGTCTTATTTTGACTTGCAAGCCAACAAAATTCCCAACAGCAACAACAATAACAACACTAAAAACTTGCTTTGCTGCTTATGTCAAAATTTGCCCCATAACAACAAAAACATGGCTTGAAAAATCCAATAAGAGACTGGCGACCTTACAATATTCACATTCAACTTTGTTGGAATATTTTTTTAATGTTTGTTGTCATTTTGCTTTTCTTCTTTGCTTTTGTGTTAACATTTCTTTGACGTTAACAGTTGCAGCGCTGTTACGCGTAGCTTCGCTTTCTTGCAATTTAAAAAGTACTTGACTATGTTGTTGTCTTGACTATAAACAACAAATAATTTTTGCACTACTTACCTCGAAACGTCAACATCGACGTCGACGTCACTGTCAGCATTTGCAGTCATTATATCAGTTGTTTTTAAAGGTATTTTTTTAATATCTTCTTTACTATCAAGAATTTCTTCACCATTGTCGTCATATTTTCTACGCACTGAGACTAATTCACGGATTTTTCTACGACAATTTGACATTTTTTACATGTAAATTTTGTTTTTATTTAAAAATACTACACTTTTATTATGTTATAAATATATATTTAATGAATATTTTCTTTTATTTGCATTATTTTATCACATATAATCTTTTTAAAAGACACTTCTGGCGTTTAAATTCAAATAGTGAAATTTCTTATGAAATCATGTGCTCATGATTGTTTTAAGTACCGCTCAGGTGACAAAAACACACTTTCCATACCGACATATAAAAACAACTGAAGATAAGTTCAAAATTATACGACTGAAATAAACTTAACATTGCCAGACTTAAATGATTTTTACACTTTTTTTATTGTAGAAAAATTTATATGCAGAAATGTTGTTTTCTATAGAACTTTAAATATATATATTTAATGTGTGAGTTATTTATTTTAATTACATAAATATATAAATTTTATATAAATTAAAGTACAATACTTATATCTTTAAGTATTGTACTTTAAATAATACGAAATTATTAATATCATGATATTTGCATGTTAGTAAATATTTTATGAAAACGTGGCAGTAAACGCACATAATATTTAACAGCTGACGTTTTTGCAATAAAAAAGCAAAGTGTTTGTGTGGAATCATAACATACAATAGTACATACACAAACCTTTTATTATATTTCTCAACCAATAGTAAAAGTGTTCACATTCAGACTGCTGTGAGTGGGAATAGTATTGATATGGTCACTTAATGATTTTAATAAAGAAATCTTGTACGAATTAAACTTAATAATATTAAAATAAACATTTTTAAAAATATTGAGAGTTATTACAGAATCACCTCAGTTTTAAGGCAGTCTATTAAAAGTGTTATTTTAAATAAATGTGAAATTAAAATGAGAACTACAACAACAAAAATTCATCTAATATTAAATGAATCTTTGGCTGACAATACACCTGTTTCGATTATTGCCCATCATCAGTGGTCTTGGAAATAATTTTTGTATTTAATTATTCGTAAATAATTTTTAATTTTTGAGACTGCAAATACTAGAAATCGAACTCGTTAAAATATTGAACATAAATTAAACCTTATATAAAATATTAAGAATCTTGAGATTATTTATATTGATGGATCAATCAAAAGTCTAACAAAAAATCAATTAAAACTCGAATAACTTCATTAAACAAGTCATTGAAATTATTGAAAGTATTATAAAATTCTAATATTATTTTTTTAGCCAATAATTTATTAAATTGATTCCACACTTATTCAAAACTTTTTTCTAATAATAAGTAGTACTTTTTCTTACTATTGCACAATTTTTCTATTGTAGTAAATTCCCATGTTCTGCATTGACTTAAGTTGGTAGACTGGAAATTTACATATATTACTAATATTTTGAAAAGCTTACAGAGTTATACGAATGTAAGTACTCTTATATTCGCAATTATTAAAAACAAAACTAACCCTCATACCAGAACAAGGAATGATGTATAGCCAATAGAAGAACGTTATTAAATACACAATTTTAATAGCAGAGTATGTACACTGCAAAAAAAGTTGACGCTGCGATATTTATGTGAAACTAGAGGACTTAATTACCAAGCTAATTTATTGGTTTTTACTAAATACTATTTGAATAAATAAATTGAATTAATTGAAAAATTATACAAAAATATAAAAAATAAAGACCACAAACATTTTTATAGGTTTTATTAGAGTAGCAAAAAAATACTCTCAATTCACGAAAGAAAATATGTGAAGCAACAACAAATGCTCTTAAAATCTTCATAGTTAGGTTCTACTCGCAAAAAATTTTAAGTCTTAAGTTTCAGTGCAGTCAAATTCAAAAATCAATATATTGTGAATGTTCATTGGAAAATTCCAGTTATTATGTTGCAAAATTCCAGGCATCCGTTAAAATCACATAATAATTTAATTCACTAATGAAATCAAATACATAAATAAATTAATTAATTTAAATGCATATTTAAGATAAAATTGCTTACCATTGCTTTTCTATTATTCATTTTGTTTTTTTTTATTTAAGTTGAAGACATTCAACATATTTTAAAAGTGATGCCAATTTTTTTTCAACCAGACTTAATGCTTTTTTTTACAACTCTGAAAGAAAAAAATACGGAAAGAAAAAATTATATGTCGTAGTTTCTTCAATTTTTAAGTAGAGTTATATAATATAACTTTTATTACTGAATTATTTTCTTTAGAACTTTTTAATTTTTATAAGTCTAACCTGATCAGGTATTATCTATACACTATTACTGGAGGATCACAATAATATTTTTATACAAATAAACATAAATGAGAGATTTAAGTTTGAGGCGAATTCTATATAATAATCAAAATCAATATTGTAAAGTATAGATAATATTGTAGTTCATTATCAACATTATCACATCTTTCAGGGAATATTCTCAAAAAAATATTGTGAACTCATTAATCGATACTAAAGACTCATTTACAAAAGGTATCACACTGAGAGTCGGAATATCACTGATAATATGTAGAATAAATATCTACATCTACTGGTTTCTCGCTGCATTAATATAGTGAAATTCAATTTTGAATTAAGATTTAAATTGTTACAAAATAATTAAATGTTTTATTCCGCGAAATCAAAAACTTCGGGTCTCGAATTCGAAAGAAAATATCGAAGTATGGAGATAAGCAATGCAGAAGACGAGAAGAGATTATAGGAAGTCAATATTATATTTCGAAATGTATATATATATATATATATAGCACTTTTACTTTCTATTAACTGGCGCGAGTTTAATTAACCTCTATTAACTCTACGCCTTGACTGGATTATTGTTTATCACTTCATCAGACTAAGCAATAATTGACTTCAGATCTGCATACCTCCCCGAGAAATCTGAGGATGTCATTCCTCTAAATGTACTATGGTACCTCGAAAAGTTTTCTCATAGCTTGGCTTTGTGCAATTTCTAGCTGGCTTTACATTTTATATAAATATTATTTATTTATAAATAATTTAAAAAAAATTTATCAAAATAATAGTATATATTATTTCAATGTTATAATTAAATTAAAATATAAATATAATGAGTATAAAAATATCTTTCTTAACTACTACAAAATTAATGAAAGTATTTTCTTACATTTTTTCTTCATAATTTTTTACAGTGTTTTTTTCACACAGGCATCTATTTAAACGTTTCTCCTTTACAATTTTTTACAGTGTTTGCTGCATACAAATATCTATTTAAGGGTAAAAATGTCCTGTAAAATAATCAACCAATCACAAAGCTTTTTCTTCCTATTAAATGTCATAATTCCTCATAAAAAACAAATCCTTTTACAATCAGCAATTAGGTTATCTCATGCGAACAGGTGCAGGGGATGAATATCCTTCGATAACGCAATAAAAAAAAATGTCTTCATCATATTTTTTTACACTTCAAATATTTGAAGACTTTTTTCAATAACAATTATTAGCTCATACCTCATCCCTGCACGCTGCTGTTAACACAAATGTAGGTGTAACTTGCAACAAGAGTTTCGACAACGAAAGCAACAACAATGCGTTGCACACAAACTTGACCACTTCCAAATACTGCTCGAAGGATACATCGTGGCGTAGTGGAAGGATCAGAAGCATTTCTTAAGTTTCTGTTTACGGAAGATGATTGTTATACACGCGCTGTAAGTGATTCGATGCGGAAGTGAAAAGTGTGAAGGATAAAGAACAAAATCGGAATGAACTGACTAAGCACAGTTGAGTGTATTAAGGAATATTCAAAGTATTTAATCTCATTCGCAAGTGATAAACGGAACTAAACGGACATAAACGGACTCGGATATTGTTTAAAATGTTATCGACGAATCAATCGCTGACCGCGCGGGATACCGCCACCGACGGTAAAACTTTAAATCGTCCATCATCGCCGCGTCAATTTTTTGAACGACTTTATGGTCATCTCGAATGTAGTGAAAAAAACGGTTTAACCGAGAGTGCGTCTCATAATCAAGATAATGTATCCGAGCAAGAAAGAACTGATAAGGTTTTTGATGAAAATAGAAATTCAAGTATCTGTGATACAACATATCAAAGCGATGGCGGTAGTATATCATCGCCTGATATATCTATCAGTGATGAGAGGTGTGTGTGATAATTTTTTGTGATCTTAATGAAAACTTTTATTTTAAAAATTGTTTTTATTATTTTAATTTTTTTAGAATATCAAATTGTGCAGTCTACGAAAATTTTCCACAACATGATTTTAACAAAAATAATTTTGCGGGAACGGCGGGTATGACTGGACTACCTTTTGGTTACACAAATGATCCACATTTTCCAGCAGGATTTACAGCTTTCTGTAAGTTATCATAATATATAGAAAACAAATTAACTTCTTAAACCAAAAGGAAATAGAGTTATTTCAAAGGAATATATCAAATAATTATGTGGGAGAGCAGTGATAATGAAGAACTGCATTGTTAACATCTATATTATCAGAAGGGTTTTTATTGTAATTGTACAATTTTTTAACTAATACCTTAAATAGTGCAACTGTTATTAAGTTTATTAACAACTCGCAGAAGTAATCTTATGACAATTCACACTATACCTCTAAAGTCATTAAATAATATCTCTAATATTATTTATGAACCATTTATAATAGTTGAAATATGTAAATACGCCAGCATATAAATTTCAGAGATAAAATGATTCAATTTACGTCTTTCAAGATTCTTTTCTTTCAATATTCTTAAAATTGCATATCAAATAAAAGATACAATTAAATATTATATTCCTTCATATTATAACTACTTGATCAATCAATCTCCATTTACATCATAAATTTAGATAGCTTAATCTACTGTCAAATGTAGTGACAAATATAATTCGATTTATTACGAGAGGTTTCAGCTCGCAAGCCCTGTCCCTGGTTACGTATCTAATTCGAAGTAGTGATCGCATACAAACTGATTGCTATAATGTTTTGTTTTTCTTTTTTTTATTTATTTATAGTGTATTTCCTTTTTTGGAATTTACTATTTTTTATTATTTCTATATAACAATCGGTTATTTGTCCTGTGAGACCTATATTAACAGGATTTTATTTTATTGGAAATTATATTAATTTTCAAATTAAAAACTACATTTCATTTATGTTATGACAAGAAATCTATTTTTCACAAAAAAAGTTGTTCAGAAACTATAAAATATAGTAGTGAAATTTAATAATTCGCAATGATTAAGTTGATTTATATAGCTGTGGTTTATGCGTTAGTGCTAATTAATAATACAGCAGTTACAATCAATAGAACAATTGATACAATTGATAGATTCGTGTGTTAATATAAGGAATCACGTTATATATATTATATATACAATTACAATTCAAAAATTACAAACAGATAAAGAAACCAATAAACGTTTCCGAAACAGCTGGTATGATCTCAGTCAGTTTCAACACATGTCCAAGAAGGGAAAGAAATATTACGCAATTTTTTTTATTAGGTTTAAGAGAAAACTCTATAAAAATCAAGAATTATAACTTTTAAAACCCACATTACTTTAGAACATTGTTTCCTAAATGAGTTCTTTACAGCATTACTCATTTCCCCCTAAATCCCTTTCTCTCTACGCATTACTCATAAGCAAGTATAAAATATTTAATATTCTTCCACCGAACTATTCTTTCATTTCTTTTATATATATACAAATTTTGACCACATTTTAGTCTCAAAAGTGGAGTCTCTTCTTTAATCTCCTAAATGTCACTACAAAGATCTGAGAGATAATAACATAATTGTCCATAATCTGGCAAACACCTTAATTAATCTTCTGCTCTTATCTCCAAATACTCACAACCACTGTCCTAATAACGAACGAAAATTTTCCTATTTGTAATTATAAAATTTGTGAAGAACCAGTCAAAACTCTACTCCAGTCAAAACTATTAAAAGGATCTACACCTTAGAATAGTATTGATTCGTTTTTATAGTTTGGAACGTCTTGAAAAAAGTTGCCATTGTTACGATGGAGCCTTCATTTCGATATTGTGACGATCCATAAGCAATTATTCGGCGTCAATACTTGATGCTTTTTCTTTTGGAAATTTACTAGATTTAGAAGAAGTTTAGTTGATACTCATTTCTGTTTTAAATCCGTTTACATAAGACGAATTACCTAAGGAATGATAATTCTTCTATTCTATTCTCTTCTCTTTCATCTCTTTTTTAATGATATTAAATTCTGTTTTCTCCTCGCTTCCTCTTCAATATCTTTAAGACCTTCCTGAAATCATCGCAACAACAACATCATAAACTCGAGTTGGTGCATAGTACTAAACACTACAATGTAGGTTGTTTGATTCATAATCACATAGTCATAAAAAAGTAGTACTTAAAATTAAAAATGATTGTTCGGATAGTATTTTAAATCATTTTTTATTTAAAAATTAAAAATCTAAAATATATACACTATAAATTTTAAACAAATATATAATTTATCACTATCATCATTGCAAGTTTAAGAACAGGTTGATTACAAGGGAATTAATCTAAGACTGTTTGGGCATCTCTGTTGCTTTAGGATTTTGCGTTTGTAGATTTCTGAGTTCAAGAGTCAAAAACATTTTTAAATTTGGATCTGTAATTTTGCTTAATACAATTTCCTTCACTTTTTCACTATTGCCATCTAATATTTTAGATATGGTTTGCGCGTACTCAATCCAAACACAATTAGCACAACCCGACATACAACAAGTAGTAGGCTCTGGTGGTAACTGAAAGAAAAAACATGTAATACATTATTTATAAAAAAAAAGATAAAATAAACATATACATATGATATAGATAATGAAAATATCATAGATGATAATAATAATATGATACCGTAAAGAAAGGTCTTACTAATTGCGTTAGCTGGATCCAATCTGGATTAACTCTCGATCTGTAAAATTTTGTTGCCCAATATATATATTTTTAGAGTAATCTAACTTTTTTGTATTAGCGTTAGTAGGCATTTCTATTTTCTATACATATATATATCGAATCAAATCAAGTCAGAAAAAACAGCTGTTACTTCATGATAATCGTGCTACTCTAGCAAAGTATCGATAGTGTTAAAAATTAATCTCGAGTGTTATACATTTCGCTCGAGAATTACCAAACGAAAATAAAATTGCAGTAAAAGTGAATCTCGATTAATAAATTTACTCCAAATTTACCAATCGAAAAAAAAATTTAATGGTGTGCTTTATCACCTCGTTATCGTTATCACCAGTTGTAACGTACAACACGGTGTTCCCATCTCTACTAACAATTATCTAAAAGCAATTTAGGTTTGTTGCAAACAGAGTTTTTACTTTTTAGGTACTATCTTGGATAGACGCATTTTATCTCAACTGGTTGTTTGTTGTAATCTGCGTGTGTTAGAAAGTGAATGGGAATGGTTTAAGGTTGGGGGTAGGAAAAAAGGGAAAATGGTTGGATTGTTAATGGGTAGAATTTAAATTGAAATCAACCCGGATCCAGTCAGGAGAACCTGGCTACTTCTAGAGAATGTATCCAGGAACAACCCGCTTTAGGTTCCTGAGCCACTTGTCAATTTTGGCGATCAAGTACCGTTCAACACCTCCAAAGTGATTTCAGAGGGAGCTATGTGTCTATTTGATATTTGTCGTCTCCTAGGGGAGCGTTTTCTTCAGTTTGATGTAAATGCTTTTCTACGTATTGATTGTACATTTAGTCAGTGAAAATTCGCGCTGAACCAAAGGAACCCAGTGAAAAACGTAGGCTTTTTCTAATGTGGGTTGGAAGGGTCTTCATGTAGACAGTACAATGACAGTACAGTTATCGGTCATCATTTCGTTGAATTTTCTCCTTTCATTGAACTACATGGTTAATAAAAACAACAACAACAATCAATGCAAGTCAAGTGCTGGTGTTAAAACTATAATTTCCACATCGAACAGATGAGTTTTGAAAAGTTGTGCCACCAACTTTAAAATAAAGGATTTTAGATTTTATCACTATCAAATATATTAACCTAATGAACTGCTGATATGGATGTCTACCATGAATTATTGAATAAATGATTTAAAGAAGTAAATGCAGATTTTTAGTACTTTAATATTATCCGCTTTATCCATATAGATGCGTTTGAGATGCCTGGTAAAAGCCATGCCTTGTCTGACCATAATAATGGTATTGTATGATGGTCTACGCAAAGCAGGATGCATGTCTAAAATTAAAAAAAATATTATCAATTTAAATATTTTAATCAGGATGTGTTTTATTAGTAAGCAATTAAGTATTAAAATTCACATTAACCCTGAATAAAAAAAAATGTCACAGGTGTTTCTGTTATAAAAATATTACCATGAAAAAAAAAATAAAGTTTAATTGTAAATCTTACGGAAAAAGTTGTAGTTCCGGTAGAGAAGTAAAAAAAATGTGGATATATTTTTTCTATTATATATAAATAATAATCTTACCAAAACACTTTGTTATATTTTTTTTTTTTTGTAAATCACAAAAAAGGTATCAAATTTAAAAGAAAAAAAAACTTTGGCAAGGGGAAGCGCACATATTGAAGGTGCGGAAAAAACTTCAGATTAAAATGTCTACTCAAGCGTTAAAGTCGGTGAATGTGGTTAGTCCGTTTACATTTTGTGGCGAAACAAGTTAGCCAAGTGCTTAGTACGAGCCTAAAAAATAGTGTAAAGCTTTACAAAGTTTAGAAAAAAAGGATTTAAAGAAATCATTAAGAAAAAGTTAACATTGTAATTGATCTTTAAGGAGGAAACCAAAAAAACGGCAGCCAGGATTTGTTGTAAAATTTACGAATACAAAAGGCAAGGAACGGATAACAAAAAATAGACATATCAAATTCCAAGTTTACTCGCAGTTTAGTCAGAACTTGATTTGTAGTTTAGGAGAAAATTGAAGTTGGAGTTAAAGGGTTAATAATTTTTTAACAATAACGATAACGATAACATTCATTGTAGGTATTGTTTTCATTATAGGAAAAGAAGTAAAAATAAAATATAATCCAATAAAATACAAAAAGAACTAATTAAATTAAATAAAGAAACAAGAAAAATAGCTATAGTTCTGAAACAAGTTTTTAGCACAATTATTAATATAAAGGAAAAGAAAAAGCCAATTACAATAGCTCCATATTCGAACTATATAGATCAAATTAGTCAAAAATTTGATTAATAATTTAAAACATTTATATTCATATTAAACAAAGACTTCAGAGAAGAATTTGGCTACTCATAAAAAATTATTATTGTATAATTATTATTTTCTCAACAACATTAATAACGCAACAGACCCATAATAACTATATTTATTTGAGAATACTCGCCATCTCCACAAACTATTAACTCGCTGTAGACATCAAGCATTTAAACAAGAAAGTTACAATTTTTACACTTACTTCAGGGATCGATAATACTACGCCCAAACATTATTACTGTAATGTAAACGGATCATCAATTTTTTTTAAGACCTTTGGTAGCTCTGGCTTGATCACCTCTCACGAAACAGAACTAGTAATACTTATGTATCTTAAAGTAGTAAGATGCTTACTTATTGCAACCTAGGTTATCAGTTCCAAGTTCTGTTAGTTAAATACAAAACTTAATTCATGGGCATTTTCTGCAACTACAAAACGTAGAATGGTCTGTATTATGACTGTAACTAACTCTAAGATTGATTGGTTGATTGCATTGGTAGATCGATAGATATGCCACCGCCTCATATTATTAGCAATTATTTGCCGTTTTAATACCAAATTTATAGCAAGAATCTCTTTTGGACAAACTAAACTCATCCAGATAATGTCGGTAATGTAGTTTAACAGACTTTTTATTCTTACTAATAAGCAGTCCAACAAACTGTCAAGAAAGTAGTTCCCTTAAAACAACATATGTCTATTAGCTGAAACTGGGCAGTCACAGAGAAAATGTGTAATTATCTTTGCTTCATCTAAATTTCAGTACCTTCTTCAACTTTTAAATAGAAGATTCAATTTCTCTACGAGATTCTTATACCCAGTAACCTTACAGTAGCAGTATAAACCACATTTCTCTTGATAAGTTGTCTGGGTCTGATCCTTTGTTATGAAGGCAAAGTGGTCCGGTATTACCTAACCTTTGGATAAGTTTTTGCCAAACTCATAACACTGGTTTATAAAACCGCATGAATTTAGGTTAAGTCTACCTGTACCGATTTCTATGAATTTAATAAATTGTAGTTCACGTTGAAATAATTTTCAAGACTATGAAGACTATTAAACAAAATAAATGGAAATCTGAAATTGTCATAAGAAGGCTTTGAAATAAAGTTTCCCAAACTAAAACCAGCGTTACTATAAGTATCTTAAATCTGGAATATATATTAGAGAATAATATATATTATATACTTTTAATATACTTTTAATTTCTAAAAAAATTAAAAGTAACTACTTCATAACACTTACAGCTTATAAGACCAAATGCATCTTAGACTAACGAAAACAGTTCATCAAAGTTCAATTCCGAATCTTTATCAATGCTTCTTCTTAATTAAAGCACTAACAATCTAAGTCTATAGTCAATAGTTAAACAACTACATACTATCGTTATTATATGTAGCTGCCCCTTTTTACAATCGTGTGTATGTCTACTTAACACTTTATAGCCTCAATCAAAGACTTAAAATAGATTTCAAAACTACACTACAAAAAATTTTAATAGCATTTAAATGACGGATAATGATGCTTGTGGCGTAGCGTTAAAGTACCGCCAGTCGGCAAACATTATGTACACATTCACTCTCAGCCCAAACACACAAGTGCATACCAAACAATAGCTTCTCCCATTGCAGCTGTTTTCATTGTTCACGAATTCCCGGATCAACATAGCTAGCGCATCCGAGAAAACAATCCAAAAAAATTTAAAAATGCACGAGACGAAAAGCAGCGAATGGGAAGAAACTACTCGCTTGCACTGAAGGACTTAATTATTTATTTACATGGCGTTTTGTAGTTGTCACGCAATTATAATCAGAATTCATAGTTGAGTTACTCTCAAATGTATTGTTAGACACAATAACTCATTTCGGAGCAGGCACAATTCGATTGTGTCATAATATCTCGTTAATGTAAGATTAATTTCACTTTAACATCTCCATTGTGGATGTTGGTTGATGCGTGCGTTCGGACATTTGAGGAAGAAGTCAGTGTGGGCGTTTTTTGTGCGGTTTATTGTTGTTTATAGTTTCGGGGTGGTTTGAGGAAATCTCGTTAATTTCATGTTCATCAACATATGCCCACACTTATCATTTATATATAACAATAAAAAAGAGATTAATAACAAATTATTTATTTATTTTTTTTTTGGTATTTTGCAGTGGCACGTCGTCGACGCAAGGATGGAAGACAACGTCGTCAACGCACAACTTTTAGCACAGAGCAGACGTTGCGTCTTGAGGTGGAATTTCATCGAAATGAATACATTTCACGCAGCAGAAGATTTGAATTGGCCGAAACTTTACGTCTTACAGAAACACAAATTAAAATTTGGTTTCAGAATAGACGCGCCAAGGATAAACGCATTGAGAAAGCACAAATTGATCAACAATACAGGTAACTGGGTCCTTCCTTTTGTTAATTACAATTTCCTTTACTTATTTGTGCAATTTATAAAAACCTTTAGTAAATTTTTTTGGATGGAAGAATAGAAAATAAATTTATGTTGGAAAATTTTATAATTTAGCGAGGAAATTAAATTTAGAATCTAAAATACTTCTCTGAAAAATTCTATTTACTGAAAATAAAAGGAAGTTGAAGCCTTTTAAAATCTTTCAGATCTAAGCTGATCCCTACTCAAATCTTAGACATTATTCCTGCCTAGTAAGGTTAAAAAGTTTTTTGTTGGCTACTTCCTCACTTACGACAAATAAGAAGTAACCACTTCCATATCTCCCTACTACCCGATAGCACATCTAAATAATGAGCATTCATGTGATAAGTAATCCTAACTTGTTTCACATAGAATCTACTAACTTGTTCACCAACCTCAACCTTATCTTATTGAAAAAAGGTGTATATTAATGGTCAAATCAACGAATCAACTGCTTTACTTAATAGTTTTCTGAAAAGTTGATATAGTGACAACGTACAACTGTTGAACAAAGATATATATTTATGGACAATTCAACTCACGCACTTGTGTATCCACAGGGTTACACAAAGTTCCTACGAATAGCTCGTGGAACAGACCTATTATTTCAAGTAAAATTTGTGTTGACGCGGCACTGGTGTTCCCACCAGATTTTACACAAAGCTGTTCCATGAAAATCTGTGTAAAGGGGGTAATTTGGCATTTTATTTGTGTTACGCTCTCAGTTTGTACTACACTTGATTTACTTGACTTCTACTATGTGTAGCTTGTGGAATAGACTTTATAAGTACAATTGATTTCCTTTCTATGAATTCTCTTTGCTTCTTCGGTGGGTAAAAATAAACTATACAGAAGGTTTTAACACATAAATGAAAACTAAATTTAGACGTTTATATTAAAATTTAATTAATTCCATAGGCATATCGATTTTTTTTCATATAATTTTATTTAAATATGACCTAGAGAGCAGACTAATTTATAGCTCGATGCCACTTATTAACACTAGTGAGCAGACTATCCGTGAAAAGAGAGAACTAACAATCCTATAATAAGATACCAACATTTTTAGAGATTCATTTACGATAGAAATAATATAGTTATCAGCTGAGTTTGTGGATTTCCTTTCATAAAGATTTGTCTGAGCTAGAATTAATTAAATAAAATTTTGCTTAACTATTACTGACCACAACTAAAAAAGATTTAAAGTCGCCCATTCTTATTATCTGACATTAACATTACTTCTTCCACGTTCTGTTCATAATTATTAAAAATGATTCACAAATACATTGAAAAAGATCTAACGCTAATTATAAATCTTACTAAATGTATAAGTTTGAGTCTATTAGACTGAATCCTTTACACTTTAGACCAACCATATGGCACATCTGCTGCACATTTGTGGAGTAAACCGCAAAAGTGTTCGACTCCACGAAATCTAAGCTAAGAATCGATATATACTAGTTTTAAAAAGGGCCTGAAATTTTTGTCTCTGACTCTGACAAACTTTGTTTTCTGTAAAGTTGAACTCAGTAGTAAATTCTTATATCAAATACATATATCATTTAATATATTTTGAAGAATATATGCCTGATTAATATATAATCAGATGATATAAAGTATATATATTTTTTAACATCCAAGTACGAACATACACATAAAATTACCCCTAACTTTATGCTTATAATGAACGGAAGTAAAATGTGTCAAGTTTAAAATTAATATTCATAATAAAATTAGCACGAAATTAATTTTACGACATTTAAGTACATCACAGCCTACAATTAAACACAAAAAACAAAGCAATAATTTTTATTTATATTTTTAGAAATTTTGTCGTGGCCAATGGTTTTATGACAACTTTAATAGGGCATGGAACTGGCTACCATCATAACCCAGCAATGATAACGAATTTCCATCAAAATTTCTATCAACAACAACATCAGCAAAGAGCAGTGACAGGCACTCCGGCGCTGCATACAGGACGCATAAGTTCGCAGGATATCACTAACGCAAATCAAACGAACAACAATACTATCACACAACCTCAAACCCCGTCTCTGACCATAAATAATGAACGCACTGATGTTAATTATTCTGACATTAATAGTTTTTACAAACATGCGACGAATGGCGCTGGCGCTGGTGGTGTGGGCAATCTAAACTCGCTGATAAATTCGTGTTAGCAATTAATTTGAATGAGGCGCTTTATTACATTTACTTTATTGAGCTTTAAATTAAAAAAAAACCTAGAATTGTAGTTTTTTAATTTATTTATTTTAATTTTAAATATATTTTTGTATAACAATTTATTTAAAAATTAAGCATTAGTTTAAGATGTGCTAAATTTAAATTATAAAATAAATTTCAAAATTAAATATTTTTTAAAAAGATAATTGGAGCATTTTAAATAATTGGGAAGATTACAACGATAATTGTAACTGGCTTCTCCCAGGTAACTTTGTGGACATCACTATGGACAAAAATGTCTCCGAGTAGAAGTACTGATAGTTATATCAGCACAAACTTAAATAGTTTATTTTATTATGTGTAATATAATAATAATATAAAACTTTTTCCGCAATATAATAGATCTATACGTAACACAAATGAAGTACCAAATTACGCTCTTTACACAGATTTTCATGGTACAGCTTTGTGTAAAATCTGGCGAGAACACCAGTGCGAGAAAACAAAAAGGTCCAAAAAAATTTTGGACCTTTTTTTACAGAAATGGTTCCTTTTTAAACCAATTTTGGTACAGGAAAAAATTTTCAAGTGGCAACCGTGGTGATCAACACAAATGTGTATGATTTTAAAATTCAGGGATGTTACGCTTTCTCAGATGCTCTCATTTACTCAAAAATTTGCTGGCGAAGCGCACTTATGTATACACAATGTTACTCAAAGTTACTACGAGTAGCTCGTGGAACAGACCTTGATTTTTTTTAAAAATCTTAAAAACTTAAAAAATATATTCTAAATTTGAATTCTTCAATTTAAGAAATATATAAATAAATTAAATAATTAATTATAAATATTACACATTACATAATAACTAAGTCACATGGAACCAATTTTATCTATCATTTATATTAGCTACCTAACACCTATATTCTCTATTATATCATATAACGCCTATAACTTAAGTGGTGTTCACACCTACGCTTCACACTCGCTTTTTGAGGCTTAAGTGCGGTTCAGACTGATAAACAATTTTTTTATATATTGCGGGCGAACATATCCCAAAACTGACAAATTTTGGCTAGAAATACTTATATCTCTCCAATGTTCCAAAATTAAAATTAGACGATCAAAATTCGATATTTTCTGAACCAGTAGAAATATTGATATAGGTTTTCTTTTAAATGTATTTTGTGCAAAATTAACTTGCCAGAACCTTACCAGATGGACTAAAAACTTGTATTGTAAGGTCCAAAAAATGTCATGATATTCCTCCCACTTTAACACCCACCTCCTACACAAAATATTCATAGAAAACTGTTTATTATTTTGCACTGATATATTTCTTTCGGACAAAACGAATAAAATTTATTTGGATATGTAATACTGGAATGCAAAAATAGAAAAGACATTGCAGAATTTGCTTTAATAATATGTCGAAAAGGTTTCTGCAGCGATAACCAGTTGCATATTTAAACATATTTATGGCGATGATTCCTTTATTCAAATTTTTCTAGGTCCTTCGCTTTAATAAATGCACTATTAACATGAAAAAAAAAATATATATATATATATATATATAAGAAAAACATAACGAAAGAAATGTAGGTTCAATTGATATTAAAATTTAAAATTTTGATTTTATTTCGCTCCTAGAAGTATGCAAACTTAAAAAAAAACAAACATCAAAAATATATATTGTGAACATCCAATCATCTGTTTCTACAAATATTTTGGTGCACAACTTTACATAATAATTCACTATGCTACATTAACAAAATAATTATCTATTTTATAATGTACTTGCAACTGTTTTATTAGGTTAATATATTATTTTCCTTTATTTTAAAGTAAATATTTTTTTTGATTTTATAAAAAACTCACTTTTGGCGGTTTTTGCTGCAGAATCCAACTTCGTGGTTTTTGGCACTACATTAAGTACTACCACATTTTCAACGAAATCAGCTGTTTTTTACGTAAACAAACATTATTAATCTTGCGGTGATAATTATATTTTGAAACATATAAAATAAACAATTTTTAGAAATTATTTTGATAAATAATATTGTTAATACATATTTACTACAATATGATTTACACTCAAAGCAATCTGCGAGTAAAATAAAAAGAACAATTCACAAAAATATTGTACAGGGTTGGCAATAAAAAATTTTTAAAGCATATATGTTATTTGTAAGGTATATAGAAATATTAATTGTCATTTATTTATTTTCTTAGACGGCATCCAAGAATCACCGTGTACCATTTTAGAATGGTAGAATGATTCAAATTAGAAGCTGAAACCCCATTCCAGTAATCAAGTGGAAGGTCCCACATTCATAAATTTAATTAAAATTAAATTAAAATATGCGAAATGTAATAATTTGTCTTTTATAAATAGACTATCATAACTATGGTACTTTGTATAGTGTACAAGGGAAACATTGTTTATCGATTTGATTTTTCAATTATTTCAATATTTTATCTACATAAAATTTTACTTCCGTACAATTCTAAAATTAAAGAATATTTACGAGTCCTCTCCACCATTTCATACCTAGGTAAAAATGAAAGTAGTAGTAAGCAAGCAATGGAATAGCGCGAGATGTCGAATATTTGGTTTTTTGTTCAATGTTACCACATATTCATAACATGTAGAACTAATTAGATATGTGATAATTAACAACATAAATTAACTTTTTATATGAACTATATTTGTAACTGTCATGTTTTATCATAAAAAACAACAATAAATCACAGTGTCACTAAAAATTATAATATTATGACATCTGTGCATACATGACATTTGTCAACACTTCAAATGTTGCTATTTCGGCCGTGTGCGAGTTCGAGTAAATTAAGGGAAATAGTAAATTATGTCGATATGGCAACAATGTTAGTATTTACCAGAATTTCGAGTAGGATAAATTAGATAAATTAGGGGTTACCATTGCGATAATTTTATAAGATGTTTAATAAATGAATAAATAAATTTGAAAACTTTTATCCAAAAATAATAAATAAATGCAATAAATAAATACATAAATATTTACATAAGTGCAGTGCAAAAAATCTCTAGGGAATTCCAATTTACTTTACCTCAATTTACTCGAACTCGTACACGGTCACAACAAAGTTTGACAAACAAATCTCATGTGTTATACAGAAAATTTAATACTTGACAATTTAATTAATTTAACTTATTTGATAATAGGTGGCAATGCTTTTACAAATCTCCATCTTGTTAGATACCGAAAAATTTTTCATTGATACAATATTGTTCGAGGAGTAAAATTATATATATTATTAAAATGCAGAAGTTTAAACGTGAAGGCACAAGTGAAGAAAATATTCCTCGTGGAGAAGATGTAATTTATATAATCAAAATAATAATGATAAAGTATTTTATTAATGTATGTGTTACATAAATGCTTTTTAGGATATTTGCGAGTTGGAGCACTTACGCAAATTATTCATAGGCGGCTTGGCACCTTATACCAATGAAGATTCCTTGAGGAATTTTTATGGTCAATGGGGCAAAGTAGTTGATGTTGTCGTTATGCGAGATCCAACGTCGAAACGTTCACGAGGATTTGGGTTTATAACATATACTAAGTCGGCGAGCGTCGACCAAGCCCAAGACAATCGACCACACATAATTGATGGAAAGTAAGTCATTTAAAATAAAATAATTCTATGAATTTAAAAATAATATTCATTTTCTTAGAACTGTTGAAGCTAAACGAGCACTGCCACGTCCAGAACGCGAAAATCGTGAAACTAATGTTTCTGTTAAGAAGCTATTCGTAGGTGGATTAAAAGACAACCATGATGAAGAATGTCTACAAGAATATTTTTCACAATTTGGTAATGTCATTTCAATTAAAATTCTAACTGATAAGACGACAGGAAAACGTCGTGGTTTTGCTTTCATTGAATTCGATGACTACGATGCCGTTGACAAAGCTGTTTGTAAGTAGATAAAACTTAAAAAAGCTTTTTGTTTATTAAAAAATTTATTTATTGTATGCAATAGATTTTACAGATTTTTGAAATAGTAGTAATACTTGTTTGTAAATTCAAACATTCATTAGCTTCACCTACCTGCTATTCACACTTCATAAGTATACACACACACGCAGTTACAATTAAAATATTACCGGTATACGCACACAAATAAAGTGCGACACTGCAGTATGTATCAATCAAAAGTTATACCGCAGTATGCTTCTGTTTTTAAGCACACCCAAACAAGCGAAGTGCAGGTATACGAATACACTTAGTGTATGATACCGTAATTTGTTTGTGTACACATGCTTTGATAATTATTACAAAAGGTATGATATTGTACCGTATAGCAGAGTTGTGTACAAACATTAATACAAATAATACTGTTTGTACTGTTTGTTTGTATATCATAGATGGAAAAATTACAAGATTCTTCTGCCAATTACCACTAAAAATTATACTAACTACCGTTTAATAATAATGTCACTTCTTGATCTATCTAAATTATTAAAATGTCCTAATATAATATTTATTTCTATAACACTATTAAATCTAGTGCCGATTTAGTAAATATACGATTTTCTGATCTCCGACATTTTTGACACAATGTGTAAAAAGTATATAAAATTTAAAGTTTCATTAAAAAAAACACAGTATATAAATTCTCGTAAATACACCTTTTTAAAAATAGACATTTATAGTGAGGACATCTATGGTAATGCAATAGCTTTGTTTATGTGTATTTTGCTCCTCAGTGCTACATTCTACCGCTCTACCAACTGAGCGACCGAAATGAAGGCTATACTTCACAGTATCATTTCTGTAGTCAGTCTTAATTTACTTTATGTATATATGATTCTATATAAATGAAGAAACTTGCTCATCTTACCTTACAAATATCAATTTTTAAAAGTTCTCTGATTATTTAAAATATCAACTTATAATTATATACAGATTATTTCCCTTGACTTTTTTTTTTCAAATTTGATGCAAGGTTTATAGACAATCATTATGAGTATAAGTATATGTACCTATGTAGATGTATAAATAATAAGTGCTAAGCTACCGTTGCTATTGGTTTGATAAATATTAATCGATTTTTACAAGTCATTTTGATTATAAGTTTCGTGTTTTGTTTAAAAGTTTATAATTAAACAATAACATAATACCCTATATTAGAAAAGTATTAGGCTTCTTGATTCTGTATACTATTACATTAAATGCATATTGAATCATATTATGTTTTTTAATTATGTATTAGAATAAAGTTATTATGATTGTAAACTTATAATAAATCATCAAACTACATATTTCTTTTATTTATTTTAGTACAAAAAACTCATTCCATCAAATATGTTGTTGTTGATGTTAAAAAATCTGTATACAATCTTGAGCAACAAAATCGTCAAAAGAACGCTGCCAATGCTGCAGCACAAGGAGGTAAGATTAACAACATGCCAGATCAAGTACCTGGCTATGGACCACCACCTCCATCAGCGATGCCACCTTATCCACAACCACCAGCACCACAAAACTACAATAATAATTACTGGGGCCCACCACCACCAAATATGCCACCACAACAATACGGTGGTTATCAACCACAACCTGGACCTCCAATGAATAATTGGAATTATCCTCAACCATGGAATGCTGGTCCACCACAACCAGGTCCACCCCAACCTGGACCACCACAAGGTGGTCCACCACCAAATTGGCAACAAATGCAATGGGGTACACCACCAGCACCTGGACCTGGCCCTGTTCCACCAGCAGTTCCTCCAAATGCTGTACCACCACCAGCACAAAATTGGAATCAACAAGCTGCACCACCAAATGCTCCGGTACAACCACCACCAGCAAATAATGTACCTCAACAACCACAGCAGGTGCCACCACCAAATAATTTTGGTAGTGGATATCAACAAAATTATGGCGGCGGCCCTACTAAAGGCAATATGAATGCAAACCGTATGAATCCCTATGGTGGCGGATCATCTAACAATAACTATAATGGTAACATAAACATATAATAAAATTCGTACTAAAATAAAAAATGATTATTTGTTTATAGGTAATAATGGTCAACCACCATCTAATAGTGGTTATGGTAATTACTCAGCATCCGGAAATAAATCTAATACATCAATAAATCAAGGTCAAGGCAATAAATCTATGCCTAATGGAAATGGCCAACAGGCATCAACAACAAATAAATTTAGACGTTAAAATTTATTTATTAATTTAAGGTAAGTTTCCGAAAATCTTATAATTCAAAAGCTTTAAATTGTTTATGTCTTATTTATATATAATGATTTTATAAATACTTCTTAAATTCTAGCAGCAATATTAATATTTTCTAAGAAATATTTATTAACTTAAAAAAGTATGTAATTACATTGCTTTATAGGTTTAGCTTAGAGAAAACTAGATTTAGTTTCCATTTGCAATATATATTTATATATATATATGTATTTCAAAAAGTATATCTAACTCACTTAATAGCATCTCTTTCTATTATTTAATAAGATTCCCATCTTTGTATGTAATAATCCATTTTATCTAATATTCGCATTTAAGTCTTTTTAAATATTAAACTGCTATGAAATCTGTTTCTTCAAATCCTTGTTCGTAGAACAAAAATTTTTTTGCTGTTAAAATTATTTTAAAAAATTTAACTGTTGTGTAATGATACGCCTTTATTATTACTCATTTATAAGTTAAAAATCTTACAATAGCCAGATTAATCAACATAATTAAAGTAATTAAATCAGACATAAAAAATGTTCGACTTAATTTCCTGTTAACATACCCTTTGTATAAAAAATGTTGGTGCAAATGAGTAATAAGTTTACTTTTGATTCGATTTGGTTGATTTATTATTTTTAGAATCATAAGTTTATTAATAATTTATTTGAAACAAATTGTTTACAATATAGTGATGTCCAGCCCGTAACTCCGTTGTTGTATCCAAATACCGAATACACTGCACTTTAACTTCGTCCCATTAAATTGGTTAGGTTCCTCCAAATTGATACAGGTTGAGTTCAATTAAAATCTCATCCAACCTTAATCTATTCTTATTCCTATATAATCCCCTTTACCTAACCATATCCTACCCTAATCATATACGTATTTGTAATTTTTTTCATGTTATCTCCTCTCAACAAGACGCTGCATAGTGGTATGGAATAGACAAAATGACATGGGGTAAGGTAGGAGTAGGGTTGATAAAATAGAGTAGGTTCTTATCAGGGTTTAAACGAAGGAATCTCTCGTAGTTTCAAGCGCGTTTCAGTGGTATACAAATTCTACTAATTGGCACTCCCTCATAATATTTTTTTTATTTTATCTATGTATGCAATATATAAGAAGAAGCAAGCAGAACTAAATTATAAAAAAACAAATTTCTACCAAGATTTTAAACGTGAAAACTAAAAATATCTCTTCGAATTAAAAATTTAAAATTTATTGTTTTAATTATTTTTGATTTTATTCAGCAATATAATTATTTTAATATTTATATCTGATAATTGGAGATGCACCTTAAGACGTGCATGCCTTGTTTGAAATTCTATTTAAAACACTAGTCTAATAATTTAGACTACTTTTACCTCAAAAGTATTTCATGGATATCACTGGGTTACATCAACATACTATTTACATGTATGTTGCCCAAGACCGCATCCTTGTCGTTGCAAATTTGTATATAGGTCTTGCATTAGTGTTGTTGCTTCGAATTTTAAATGTATAAATTATGCAATCAAAATCATTTCAAAATTAAGGTCCAGATATTGAGAAAGCAAATAAAGAGAAGAAACTTTCTATAGAAATTTTTCCTCTATTGTTCACCATGGCATCTGTATTCTACCGGATTGTGGATAGATAATTATGAGTGTGTGTTTTTGTGCAATAATCTAACTTTTTATATATAAAACTCAATACTTATATTTATATTTATCTATATATACTTTATATATTGTTAAGTTATAACAAAATAATTTTAATTCTTTTCAATTTACTTAGGTATGTGCAACAAAGCTCATTGCATTAGAAACAAAAAAAGAAACTAGTTATATAAATGCAGAAAAAATCACAGATTCTCTATTACATTTTCAAGTTAATACCAAACAGGGGACAGGACTATGTTTCAATTAAGTTCTCTTTATAAAATATGTTATAATTATAATTATAAAGCATTATTGAAACGTATATTGACAAGTAATATAATATTTTAAGTTAAGGAATCGTTTATATATATATAAGATTATATGTATAAATCAAATAAACAAATGTTTTAAAATATTTAAAAAAGAAATTTTAAATTCATTTTAAACAAAAATTTATAATAAAATTTTAATATGTTAATAAGATAATTTACTTTTATCTATAGATTAAAGATACTTATGTATTCAAAATTAATTTGGTTTTTAAATAATTTATGCATTCTTCATGAGCCTAAATATAGTAAGTAATGATCTTATGTTTTTAAATTTGTATGACTATATAAAATGTTTATAAAATAGGTATTTTTTTATTGAATGACTTTTATACAAAAGATATATACTTATTCTTGTAATGTGTTAGTTAAGTAAATATTTTTAAAACGAACCTCAATTTAAAGACTCTTTTTAAGTAACAATTATTTGTTCAGAATTGCATTTTTATTTTAAAAATAAATTTAGTTTTATTAATTTGATTTTAATTTACTAAAATTTATAAATTTTTTAATTTAATTTTATTATTGCGTAAAAAGAGTTTTATATACATTTTTTAACACTGCTGTTTTTTTTATTATTTTATTGAAATTATGTTAACGCCTGGAAGAGTAATGTTAGTTTCTTTTATAAATATTGTATCTAAAAATATATTACTTGTTTATATAAGATATAAAGATCTTGAAGCTATAACAAAAACACTAAAGAAGTACAGAGCATTAAAAAATTTTATTTAAACGATCTATATTTTAACCATTTCCTACTTAATTTTAAATTTATTGACCATTAATCCTTTAGTATATGTCACTTTTTAAAATATGTCAGTTTTTAAATTTAATTTAAATTTTATATTACTAAACGCAAACAAATGTGCAACAAATTCAACAAAACAACAAGATTGTAAGCTCTATAGAAATAATATTATCTAAAAAAAATCATATTTTAATATGATTATATAGTTTAAAATCATTTTAGTTTATATAATTAATATTTTTAGAATGCTATACAGAATGCTAAAATCTTTTTGAAAATAATATATCTCTATTTTATTAAAGTTAAAATATTAAATTTCAAAAATAATTTTTATATATTATATGATTTATTAAGAAATATGTATGTAATACATATATAAGTATATTTTACACTAGACTATGTACTACCTAGGTATGGCAAATTAAAAAAAAAATACGTTTACTCAAATTCTATGTATTTGATTAAAAATAAATCAGAAATTTATTATATTTCAAAATAAAAAAAAATTAAAACAACGTTTATGGCTATATTATTTAATTATATTGTAAGAACATATATGTATATAATTTTGTATTAAATATATATTCTGAATATCTGAATATATATTTTTATATATTGTAGCCAAACATCAGCTATTTAAGTGTATGAGCTTATGTTTATTACAGATTGTAAGGATTCTTGAATGTTTGTATAAAAAATTATAAATTTATTTAACAGATTCCTTTATATTATTTTTTGTTTTTAATTTTGTTTTTAAATTTTTAATATATAATATTCTAATAATTTTAAATTTTCTTTTCACATAAAAAATATTGTCGAGAATGTGACTTCAACAGAAGCGACTAACATCAGCCACAATTATTTTGGTAAGTTTAAATGAAGTGTAAACCTAAAAGTTATTTTTAAATTAAAATAATAAAGAAAAAAGAAAATTTATATATAATTCATAACGTTTTTTATTTAATGGAAGAATATATGATAAGTATAAAATAGAAAAGTAAATAACTCCTTTTCTGTTGCTCTCTGCAATGTAAATGAACTAATGAATCGTAGAGATAAGAGAAGGATGTACTGAAGGATTTAAACACAACAAAGTTTAATTTTATGTTAGAGGACCAAAGTTCGTAATAGGTTGAGCCCAATTGCTTCAGAATCTGACAGAACATTGGAAGATTTCTGGTCAGCGCCCAATTGTTAAAAAATCTGACGGACCATAGCGATATAATAGTAATGGGACCATTGCGATATAATAGTAATGGGACCATTGCGATATAATAGTAACGCCATACATACAACGTTGGGAATTTCCATATCCTGAATATTTTCAATAGAACCCAGCTGTATATGTTTTTATCTTTATAATCCTATTTTAATTTCTTAAAAACAGTCGAGGAAACTCTTGGTTTAAATATATCTTTCTTACTTAAACTAGCAATAAAAGCACAGCACATATGTAGTACTACTACAGATTGAGCAACATTACCGCGCTCAGAAATCAGACAGAATTTCACGTTGTAAAAAATTAATTAAGCACAATTTATAAATAGAAGAACGATAGAAACGATCGTATATATATTTTAGCCCTAAGAATTATGTGTTGAATGGATTTTATATAATGATTGCGGAATTGTATAATGAATTTTTGAAGTAAGCTAAGGGGAAGTCGACTTGTTTTTTACCTTAGAGCCAATAAGTTAAATTAAAATTTACTTAAAACCCAATACAGTGTCTGTTCACATTTATAAGAAATATAGCGAATGAAACGGAATGGTATGGCGCGTCCATCCTGCTTTCCTAAAGATCACCTGATTAATTTAATTTATACGCCATGATATCTGGTAAATAAGCCCTGGCTACTTATTCAGTGAATGGAACGGTGAATGAAAAAAAAAATTGATAATAAATCTTTTTAATTTTAATTATGAAAATTAAAAACTCGTTAGCTTGCATTAGCTTATTATTTGTTTTTGAGGAACTGTCAAAATTTGGCATGTTGCTGAACATTCTTGTAGCAACTGTCAAAATGATGGGGACATTTTATGTTGCTCCGCAACATTTTTTTCACAGACTTGAACACAGTACTATATGAGTTAAATTTCGTTAATGGTTGTTTTTAATATATAATTGGGAATGGCGTTAATTAATATAAATAAAAAACGGCGAGGACTAAATGATGAAGTTATCAAAGCGCTGATTCGTGCTGTGGAAAATAATTCGACTATTTGGAATAGGCAATGTAAAGAACACTTAAATAATACAACACTTAGAACTGCATGGAAAAATGTTAGCGAAGAAGTTTCTTTAAGTGGTATGAATATAGAAAATAATGTTAAGAAATTTTATGAACATAATTGGAAATTCATTACAGTTGATGACTGTAAAGCTGCATGGAGAAGTGTACGTGATAGTAAGCGTTACCATGAAAAAAAACGCAAAAAGTATGAGAGCAATCCTGGATTGCTAGATCATGAACATTGGGGTTTCCATGAGGAACTCTCATTTCTTACGGATAACTCAACGCAGCATATGTGAGTAGTCAAATTGGCTTCATTAGAGCTTCATTAGAAATTGCAATATTAAAAGGTGACAAAATTAAATAAACTCCCCAGCAATTTTTGTTAGTATCATTAGAAACTATGTTACTGTTTCTTTGTTAATGTGTTACTATGTTAATTTTATTATTAGATTAATAAATAATTTAATTTATATATAACTATTTGAGTATTCAACTACGTGTTCGTTCATATTAATGTTTTTCAGAAATTTCGCAACAGTGGATGAAAATGAAGACCGTTGTGTAACCCCAGTGAAACAAATTACATATGAAGTTAGTTTACACTTCTTTCGCATATTAAATACATAATATTTCCATTAATCTTGTAATTTTTTCAGCCTGAAGTACCCAATAGTAGTCATAGCACAAGAAACTCAGCTTTAAATATGCTAACCTCTTCAGCAGAGAAAATAATTACACAAATGGAGACATTCGTGAACATGAAGCAATGTCAACAAAAGAAAAAGTCTCATTTCGAACCATTTTTAAATTTAATTAATTCAATTTTAGAGCAGTTACCAGAAGTTGATGCACAGAGATTGAGCGCAGAAATCACATCGATGGCATATGCTAGATTAAACGACCACCTCAGCAAAAAGATTAAAAAAGAAAACAGACACGACGAATTCATTAATATGTAATATACATATATTTATATTTTCCTAATTTTAACTATATTTGAAATGCATAATTTAAGAATAAAATGTTTGTTTTAATTCATTACTGAGTCTGCATCGGAATTGAAAAATCTTTTTAAAATGTTTCTTACGTCGTCACCAGACTTATATTTCTTATTCATATCCGTTGAATTGAAGTTTGTAAAAAACAGCGAATTTTCTGGTATGTACTTGTAGTAATCTCCTATTACGAATGAACCATCGTCATCGTACCTGTCCCAGTATTTTGGAGGACAGTATTGCAGTTTCACTGTACGCATCAAGTAATTATGCAAATGAAAGCATGTGACTATAATTTTTATGGCTGTATTAGGACAGCGAAACATTTTTTTTGACAGACAATAAAATTTAGAACATAAAATACCGAATGCGTTCTTAGCATATAAAAGAGCTCTATTGATTCTGTTATTGAATATTTCTACAGCTTCATTCGGTTGTTTATGTAACGTTGAGGGATATGGAGTCATTATTCTTTGGTGAAGGGGAAATTGGTCGCTGGCCACGAACACAGATGGTAAAGTCGCGTCGGACATTTTTATATCCCCTGGAAAATTCAACTCTTCATTAAGTATATCCGCTCCAATAGAACTTCCACTAAACATGCAGGAATCATTTTGTTTATCGTAAGCACCTACATCTAAATATGTAAACCTGTAATCAGCATCTGCAACAGCCATTATATTAAGAGTAAATACTCCCTACATTAAGATAAAATATACACAAATATAAGTAAGGGTATAGTAAAAATATATTATCTTATATACTTTGAAATTTCCAGAATTCCCGGGACATTTTAAGAAAACTTGCTTTCCATCCATAGCACCCACACAGTTAGGAAAATTGCATTTAGTAAAAGTTTTAGCAGTTTCTTTTAAATTTTCCTGGGTTAGTTTTGGAATTTCAAATTTTAACGCTTTTATAATTGCATTACAAACATCCATTAAAATTGTACCAAAGTGTTGCTTGCTGATTCTATATGCAGAAGCGACATGTTTTTGAAGTGTGCCTGATGCTAAATATCTGGAATAAAAGCAATACATCTTTTGCAATAATACTGACTTGCTTTCTAAAAATATTTAGAACCAATTTTACAATGCACACTTAAACTGATTATTACATCAGTTTTCGATATTCGACACCATAGTGCCACTAAAAAATTTAAATAAATTCAACTTTATAATCAAATCAAGACTTAAGTGTACACAGAAAATCAGCCATTAGAAACGAACTCTAAGACGACTGCAAGTTTTTCTTTGGAAGAAATTCCATCTCTGGGATGAGTTCTTTTTTTGGGTTGTAAATGTGGTTCTATAAGCCGTAGAATATCTTCAAAACTTTTATATGGCATATGAAAGTACTTAACAAATCGTTTCTCGCACTTCACTATATCTTCAAACTGAAACAATATAAAGTACAGATAAAAATTGAATAACATTTGTATCAAATCAAACTCACATCTGTTGCAAATCTTCCCTTGGCTCTTCTAGTTCTTAAGAAACGACCAACTCGACCACGACTTTCATGAGCACAAATTTTTGCAGCTTGAAGTAAAATTGCCGTCATGGAACCTGCCGCTAAAACCACTGCTTCTTCTAAATCTGACATCTTTCTTCATATAGTTTATATTCTATTAATTAATAAATGCAGTGCATATATGTTTTCTACTTGTATATATGAATTCCACTCAATTTAATATTTTTATTCTTTATTTACTTAAATACAAATGTCAAGTTTGGCAATGTTTTGTTTGTTGCTGATGAACTGTCAAAATGTAATATGTTGCTAAACATTTGCCCATCAGCTGTCAAAATTCAGAAGTTTGAAACATTTTTATTTATAAGTGTTAATGTTTTGCACTGTACTACTAGTATCTTTTGTTGATCCTACTCATACTACCGCCAGCAGTTTCAGATTTAAATATTATATATTATGAACTATTATATCCATTGAGAATAAAAATGAATGAATATGAATAATGATAATGAATTATGAATAATTGGATTATACTCCGCTAATAAGAAACCATTAATAGTGGAATCAATTCAGATGATTAAGACATTCGGATAACGGAAAGTCATATATGGTTTTTTAACAACAGAAACTATAAGCCACAGCTCATTTAATTAATCCTAAAATTTAGAGACACATTGACATGGTAGATAACAAACTGTTTAAGCAAATTGCAAACAAAACGTATGGGCAAATAAAACATACATACTTCTATGCATTTAACCCAAAAATGTGATCCTATTTTACTAGTATATCTAGAAGCCAAATTCATAACATGTAATCCGGATTACAGAGTCAGTGGTCGATCCATACTGTAAAGCATAAAATGTATATTTCGAATTTTCTAATTTTGTTCGAATTACTATGTAGTCCAAATTACCAGAAATTTGAACTAGCGGAGATCTACTGTAATTACTACTGTAAAGGATTAAAACTAAGATTTTGGACTAATAATTACGAAATGTAAACACAGCAATAATAAGTTATCTACACACATATATGAATGAAATAGATCATTACTATCTATATTTATGTTTGGATATATGCGCTTGCTTGCCATTTTTCGAACTAATTTTTTATCATAATAGACGAAGTACTGTAGTTTTTGTAGTCTAATCCACTATTAAGATATATATTCAAATCATAATGAGCACGTAAAGGTGCATTCACACCAAAGTGAACGCTTGCGAATGAAGGAACATTCACAGGTGACGGTACCCGCAAAAGTTCGTTCGTTCGCCAGCGTTCGCTTTGGTGTGGATGTACCTTAATGCATCATAAAATAGCAAAATTAAAATCAGTAAAGCAAACCTTTCATATAATGCTTATGTATGTTGTTAATTCTCAAGTTTTTATAAGAAAAATATTTTTTATTAAGCCCATCAAATTTAATATTTCGATAGAATTACATCGTGAAATGAGTTCTTTTATGCTCTTGAAATAATAATTTTTATTTAATTATTAAATAAAAAAGTTGCAAAAAAATGTGGAACGCTTCACGATTTTGCGTGTCATCCTTGCGCAGGGGCCA